CAGAGGGGGTTCTTCTCTGTGTCTGAACACTGTTCATTATCTTTAAAGTGGAAGTCTACTGCCAAAATCACGTCTCATTGTCAATTAGTGGCTCCTCTGCAAACACATTAATTTAATGCCCCTGCTGAAGAACTGTGAGCATTGGAACATCTTGCTGCTAAAACACTAGTTTTTGGAGCACTTTGACAGAAATCATTCATGAATAGCAATTTATGCCGTGATGGTAATGGGACGTGACATGAAGCTCTCTTTGATTAAATTTACCACAGCTTACAACTATGAGTAAATAGAGCTAATGTAGATAGTTACAACAGATTTCTGGAAGGTGGGTATGAAGAAAAAAAGATTAAGGATTCCTGTGCATTTCCTAAAGAATACTTTCACACAGAATGACTGTAATAAATGAAAGCCTAAAATAAAAAGTCTAATAATCTTACAACTATTTTTTCCTCTCTCCAACTTTGGCAAATTCAGCAATGACCTAAATAAAAAAGAATCAATTACCCTAAAATAAATAAATTTGCTGTTTGTTCTGCAACCCTTTCATTATACTGTATGAGAACACATAAAGAAATATTTCTCTCTGCTAAAAGATCAAAAACTGGGGAAATGGTGCATTTTGGGAAAAAAGGGCTCATTCGTCCTCCACTGCCATCCCTGATGTCAGCAAAATGTTGTCTTCTTAGAACAGAATTCATTCAGATGTTTGTTTTGCAGCACTCTTATGTTCCCTTTGTTAAAGAACTAAGCTATATTTTCATTTTCTTATTTTCTGTTTGGTAAATATAATTTTCTTCTGTCCTTTCCACAGCTACCATGGAAACAAGCTAAAATGCTTCACATTAAATATTTTTAAATAGATTTTTTTTTTCCTTGGTAAAATATGGTATCAGTTTTCAAAATGCATATTGATAGAGGAGATGAGGGGGAAATGTTTGGGCAATGGACTAAAGGTGGCTTTTCATCCCCTTGTACTAATAAAAATATATTAAGAACATGTTAAACCCTAGGAATGACACTAGAAACAAAGCAAGCCAAGTAGTATTTCTTTTCTGAAAGATTTCCAGTGTGAGATGTTAAAGATCCTATGAAATAGTAAGACTGACATCTAAATAAAACACTGGTTAAATCATAAATAATTTTGATACTTGGGAAATAAAACCCTTATTACCTCTCCGATGGCAGATACTTTTTATTCTGAGTGCAAGAATAATATATTTTAGTGCTGAATCTAAAGCATTTTGTTTTGCGGGTTGAGCCCAGTAAAATGAATAATCTCAAACAAATGTACCTTAAGACACACTGTTATTTATATGCGGAGAATAGTGGCTTATTTACCCAAACATTAGAATGATCCAAAATGTTCAGCTAAGCAGGAACACAAAATATGATATTATATTATGTAAATGGGTTTGTGATACGCTCTGCTGGATAATAACTTCCAGATGTCTCTGTAGCCAGAGGCTGACGGATATCAAAGGCAGGTTGGCTGGGAGGGGAGATGTGCCAGCTGGCGAGGCTGGTGACTGCTAAGTGTAGCGGAAGGTGAAAGCTGGTGTTGCTTCCCACTCACTGGTTTTATTTGTGGAAGTGGTGAAAAGTCAGTGGTTTGCAGCCTTCTTTTCACGAGCAGGGTAGGGCTTGAGGGGCTACAGGGATCCCAAGTGCCCTATTCTTTCAGAGAATTATGTTTTTACCTCTTTTGTGAGTAGGTGTTGAGTTTGGTTCTTGTCTCCCAACACATGAAGGGCTGACAAGCCACGGACTCACAGTGACAGGACCTTATAGACTAGCTAGCTGGCTGTTCCTGCCTATCTTTAATTGCCAGTGCTAAATGCAGACAAGGAATCTCCCTGAGCTCTCAGTGTCTTGGTGTAAATGGAGTTGGCCTCACCAGTTTGGAGGAAGGCATTCTAAATCTGGGAGGGAAACCACATGAAAGGGGTAGAACTAGAGCTGCTCAGTTTGATTATGAGAAGGAATATGGACAGATTGTGTTCTGATGACATTAAAAAAGGTAGAGGAATATTTTTTCTTTTGAAAATGTCTGTTTGGGATTGTGGAAAGCATATGGCCAGTAAGACTATGAGAGAAGGAGCAGTTGTTATCTCAGTGAAAACTGTTACTCAGCAAAAACAAAACTGGAAGCTCTATTTTATAATTCATTTAATCTGGTGTCACATTCTGCTTTTAAATTGAACTTCAGACCCTTGCAAACTCCAAAGTAAAGGACAGTTTTCTGGGACTTGTGGTGAGTCGAGCTGTTACTCAGGAGATGTTCTTGGATGTTTCAGTCAGAGAACCAAATAATTCTGGCATTTGTGCTCACCAGACTTTGTTACTGCATTTGTCTCACAGCTTTTAAACAGCAGAAAACACATACAACGTATTTAAACAACACCAGAGAAATTCGGGTCATGAGAACACATCGCCAACAAATGAAGATAAGAAGGAGCTGTTGTGTAAAAAAAAAAAGTAGTTGTTGCATGATGCTTTTTAAATTCTACATTCCAAATTCACAGTCATGTTGATGATTTATTCTAATGTAGGAAAACATCATCAAGAGTGACAAGCAAGCTAGTCACTGTCTAGTCACCTGCCAGCAAATATTTCATAAAGACTAAAAAGGCTGGTACTGCCTTGCTGAGCTGACACTAATTATTTCTGTATACACGGAGCTTTGGGATTCATGTTAATTCTCAAGTCTGTCTTTAGTTCAGACTCATTCCACTGTGTAAACTCAGTAGAACACAAATTATTTGACCATCCTTTTCATAATCTGTCCCCACGCTCACTTGCCAATTATATAAACTGATCCAAATACCTGCTCCCAAAGGATCCCCATTTGGGAATCACAAGCCAATTAAACAAAAAAGGGAATATCTACTTTTCTGTATTTTCTATAGCTCATGTCTTGAAGCCCTATTTCATGTTGACGCTCATGTCTGGGATCTTCTTTAGATAGCATTGATTTCATCAGTGTTAAGCAGAGATACCTTTCTGGTGATAAAATCCCTTTTTAGATGAAAACTCTATTGGATCTAGCATGTTGCATCCCATAGAAAGGATGAGCTGAGCAGTACCTACCGATATCTTGAACAGCCTGAGAAGGTCTCCCACTGCCACATCATGATGCTGTTTCTTTGTTCATTAGACACTTAAGTGAGTATTTTTAGAACAACATCTAAATATTGAACAGTGGTACAATGATCTTGCAGCAGTTTGGTGATGATGCTTGTTGAAGATGTATAAAACAGCATTCAGGCAGACACAAAACAGCAGTCACCTTGGTGCCATGAGGTAATGTGAGAGAGGATTTGAGAAATGTGACTAGGTGTGTGACTGAGAAAGACCACCTTTGTTCTGTGAAAATTCAGCTCTGGAACTGGCTCATTTTTAAGGTTTGCAGTAAAAATAGCTGCATTTTTACACAAATGCTTCCAACCATTGCAGCTGGTAGATGTCTGCCCTCCACAGGTAGCACAGACCAGAGCCAAGAGAATGGCCTTCTTGCTGCTGTGCCCAACCCTGGGCACCCAGAAGGTCCACACAGCTTTGGAGCCACCACTCAGTTCCATGTACTGCTTAATTTTCATATACTATATAGTTTTGAGCTGACTGCCTGCTTTGCTACACTTCCAGATCAAGAATTAAAATGTGCTAGTAGGTGGATTTACCTCAAACTGTAAACCCTGAAGCAACGATTCCCACTGAATCAGTACCTGCAGATAACTGCTTCCAAATGTTTGTAGGATGTTTGAGTTGGTATGTTTGAAGTTAGACAAAAATTGAGTGTCGCTTAAAATTACAACAGCCTCAGAAATCCTTTGATTGTTTTTCCTACGGTGCTGTTGGGGTTTGGGGTATTGGTTTTTGGGGTTGCTTTTTGTTGGAGGTTTGAGAAAAATAGCTGAAAATTGTAAAACTCAAAGAATAGTATTCCCACTGGATTTTACCTCAAATGAAGATAACATGGCTTGCAGTCTTTCTGATTTATGAAAGTTTAAGCATTTTCTGGTGGGAGTGTAGGTCATCATATGGTAAAAAAAAGCTTTTCTTTGTTCATTATCTTCTCTGTGGACTTTCCAGAAGTAATGCCTGGAATCCTAGAAGGCCACAAATATTGAAGTATTGAGACTGAGGAACCCCTGAAGAGCTTCTCCAGATATACATTTCATGGATTTATCATTCAATAAAGCAGAAATATTCTAATAATGAACCAGACTCTTTAATCAAAACCATGGTCTTACCATTTCCATTTTTAATGCCGCAGCATTTTAATGTGTCAAGCAACAAAATATGCCATGGGTAGAATCTGTAGTTTAAAAAAAAAAAAAAGAATCAGAAATGATTCAAAAGTGCCCCAAATATGAGAAATGTTTTCTAACTGAGATGTATTACACTTCCCAGGCTGGGTGGAGAGATATGTGTTTGGGATTTGTGTTCAAAACTCAGCTCTTATAAAAAAGTCATTCCTCATGAAGCAGTAAGAAGTTGTACTTCATCACCTCTGCAGCCGTGGAGCTGACTCCCCCCCTGATTGTGGTTTGTTTGTTTTCATGGGACACCTCTGCAGAGCCACAGGCTTCAGGCTACTGTAACCCTGTTAATGCCAGAGCAGGATAACTTCATACTCTACAGAAGAACATGACGTATGCTGTAAAGGTGTTCTGGCAGGTTACATTTATTAGAAATCTGCAGAAACTTCTTTAGTCCAATGTGCCTCTAAAGCTCCCTGCAGCTGGTGTAATGAAGACAATATATTTTCAGAGACATCTTGATTTGAGAGTGACAGCTCCATATATTTGTGAAAATGAAGTGGCAGCGGAGTTGCCAGTAAAGCATATTGTGTGTTTGTGCTGCAGAAATCTATCATGTTAATAACAATAATTTTCACAGTTACATGTGACCATTTGCACGCAAGGAAGCCCTGCTGTTGGGAGAAGTCTTAAGAAACGAGGAAGCACCTAACTGGGTTTGCTTTCTTGTTTCCAAAACAGCCAAAAGGAAGGAAGACTGTGCCTGGAGAAGTGGCACAGCAGCAGAGTGACACCCTGCTCCCCTGGCGCCAGCAGCAGAGCGCCCACGGCCTGCGACGCCAGAAGCGAGACTGGGTCATCCCGCCCATCAATGTGCCAGAAAACTCCAGAGGACCCTTTCCACAGCAGCTGGTTCGGGTAAGTTAAAGAAAAAGAAACAAATTATAATACTAATGGTAATCTTGGAGTGGCTGTAGGGAAGAAGTAGGTGTCATCCAAGCTCATGGCATGGGAGAGCAGGCTCAAAGTACAGGATCTGCTTTTCCTCATGCAAGAAAGGTTGTTGCATTTTGCCCATGGCTGGAACACTTCTTGCCCCAGTTTTCTTTCCCCAGCTGAACAGCAGCCTAATCACCTTCTTCAGCCAGTCCTTCCAGAGGCTCCAGCAGTGCTGCCAGGATGGCACTTTGCCTGGCGCTCTCATCCAGGCAGCAGCTGCAGGTATGAGGCTGGGTTGGGTGACACCCCAGCTGGGGCTGCCGTGTCCTTCCCTCCTCCTCAGAGCCCCAGGGCAGCCGCATGGCAGGGCCTGAGGGGTTGGCTGCCTGCCCCTGCTGCAGGTGGGTCCCTCAGCCTCCCTGTGGTGCTGGTTTCTTTCTTTACAGGGATGATCTCTGAGATCAAGTTTACCCATGTGGTTTTCTGCGATGATTATTGGATGACAGGAAAAGAAAAAGCTGGGGAAAGGGACCTTTGACAGACACATTTGGTTGACACATTACTGCTGTTGATAAGTGTTAGTAAAATACAAATGTGTGTTGCTATTCCTCTTGTGAGTGCTGGTTTCAGGTTTTGGAACAGTCGAAATATTAGCTATAAAAAAAGAATTCCCAGGCAGACTCTTTCAGCTCTTTCTTTGGAATAAAATGGTGACAATTATAAAATTTCAGAACTTATTTTGAGCAACAGTAGTTTGTCATTGGCATCCCATCTCAGCAAGTTCACCTAGTCATCTTGAAACAGTGCCTGGATTCAAATGAGTTGTCATCATTACCAGTTTCACACTGGTTAGTTGATACTATTCTGCACAACCCATGTCTGGGAGGAAGAAAGGAGCTTGATGCATCCTTTAGAAGTTCAGGTGAACTTTGCAATAACTCATGCCATGACGGAAGGTACATGTTCCCAATTCACCAAGTATTGGGTAAAGTGGAATTGTTGGTGTCGTTTCTTTGTGCAATTAGGGAAGTGCAAGGGATAAAAAAGTAGCATGTTTTTACAGCTGTCTTGGAAACACAGGGATAGAAGCCAAAGAGTCTCTGTGTGGTCAGCAGTGCTGGGTATGGAGTTAATCCATTAAAGTGTTGTTCTACTAAGTTAAAGAAATCTGTGAAGAGGAAAATAAATTGATGTGTCAAAAATATCTTCCTAAATCAGATTAATAATTTAGATTAATTCCTGAAGTCCTGTGAAAAATGAGTGGAGTACTTGCAAAACGAATTTACGTCCTGTCCTGCTCCCTGCTGATTTCTTTTGAGCTTTGACTAGACAGCAAGAGGACAACTTGGCACTGGCTTACCATGGTAGATTTGTTGCTTTATAAGGACTGAAATCTCTGTGGCATTTTTTTCCCCTATAGTCTGGAGATGAAACAGAAAGACTTGAGAATGCTTTTAAGCATTTAAGCAATGCTTAAAAGTCCAGTATTCATGAGCATGACAAATAATAAATTTTATATAGGTGCAGAGGAATTGATATTCATTGGTTAAACTACCAGTAACCTTGGAAAGATAACCTAGCTGATGGAAACACAGAGCTCCCAGATATTCAGTGATAAAACATGCCATGGCAGGTTTTAAATATAGATCCCAGAGAAAATACTGAAAAATAAGTTAAAAAGTGGTGTAGGAAGGAAAGAAAGAAAGGGCTAACAAAGGGCTGCTTTCCTTTTCACCTGACATCCAGAAAGTATCATAATGACAGGGAAGATGGTACAAAGACTGCAACTTGATTAAGCATGGGCCCCCTGATGTTTCAGGCTTGGGTTGAGTTTCTGCTCATCTGCAGCATCTGGCACGTTTGCTGGCCTCCAAATGTGAAGCTTGGGTGATTCCTAGCAGGAGTTACAGCTTTCCCTGTTAGACTTTGCTCTTTAATTATCCAGAATAGGGCAAATCAGCGTCTTCTAAGACCAGCACTATCTGTTTATTTCCATCCACATAATTCTCAGTTTGCCCTGGAGCATTGTGCTGTCTCCTAGATCTAGGTAACATTTTGATCTGATTTCCCATGCTTTTGCTCAGTGGGCACTGAATATTTTCATGTCCATCTGCTAACAAACTGGAGCTAGAAGTGCCCATGTGAAGTTACAGCTCAGATCCCCTTTGTGGGGAAGGAAATCTGTCACAGTTTTCCCCACAACTGTATATAAAGCATCCAAACCTAACACTGCTTCCTGGACACTGAACCTTTTTTGGTCCAGAGAGCCCTGCTTTGAGCTCACGTTTTATAGATATAACCCATGGAAACCTGTTCCTCCATGATGCTGTCTTTGGTTCTGGTTACCTCCAAGGATGGGAAAGGGATGGCGTGAAAAACCGGAGTATTGCACACCAAAAAGCCCTACCAGAAGTACATTTTCACAGGAACACTTGCTGTTTGCGTTTTTATAGGTCAGAATAATTTGAAATGCATAGGCAAATCTTTTGGGTTCCCTCCTACTCCTGCTTCCTATTGTGAAGGCAAAATTTCCATTTTATGGAAGTTGATTAGTTACTTGTCAGTATTTTTAGCAGGGCTGTGCCTGAATGAAGTTTAAATCATAGCAAAGGTGAATGCAGCTTGATGGGAGCCACATACCTCGAAATGCAGCCCTTTCTGGTTCAGCTGGGATCAACTATAATTCTCTGCTCATTAAACCATTTCATTCTGATAAAATACATTAAATGAAAAAGTTTTTAGGAAAAAAAAAAAAAAAAGAAAAAAGAAAAAGAAAAAAGGAAGACATCACAACATTATCCCTGCCAAAAAAACCACTGTTAATTACAGGGTTTTTTTCTTTCAAAGGAATATCTGTGTCTGTTCATATGCATCAACCACACTAACTCGAAAATGTTTTTTCAGAAAAATAATATATAAAAAAGAATAGTAATAGGAATTTCTGATTAGTTTTGGCTGCTGAAAAGATTTGCTTATTCTTCAAAGAATTAAAATAAACGTCTGACATGTATAAGCTAAAAATAATTTTTATTGGTATAAAAGTGTTTTGCAAATTTTGGTTTTGTCTTTAAGCTGAGAAAACATTTATTAAATGTTATTGATATATGTGTATTTATTTTGCAAACACTTTAAAAAATCTTGGGTGTAATTTCCTTGTGCTTCACTTGAACCTTTGTACTAGGAATAATATTTTACATGCTGTGAAATATTTTACTGTAGTGAAGATAATTTTATGACTAATTGTCAGGTATAACTATGAGATCCATAAAAATGTCTGTTAAAAATACAAAACCAATATGAAATCCCCCTCCCTCTCCAAGCAAATGACTCATGCAGGCACACTGATCAACTAAGATAGTATCTTAAATAGTTGCACCCTTGCTGAGTACCATCTATTTTGTCACTGACTCATCCTTTTTAGCTACATGTGTAGCTAATGCTTAATTATCTATATACTAATTATCTATTAGCTGATCTTGTATTTCATCCTCTTTTGAACTTCAAAAAGTATCTCAGTTTTGTATCCACATACAAGCTTCTGGCTTCTTCTAACAGGAATCCTGAGTTGATTTTCATGGCCAAAGTCTTGGCCCATCTCACTGGGCTGCATGAAAATAATTCATTTAAAAGACCAACAGTCTTGTGCAGGACCAGCCTTTGGTCATGGTATACTTAGATATTGGGCTCCTCTATTGACCACTGCAACCTTATTGACCTTTATGAATGCTCCAAACTTCCAGCTTTAGCTTAATCACCTTTCTAGAGCTCTTACGAGCCACCTGTCTCTAACTTGATCTTCACTTTGATTTTCATAGACCCTAATTTTTCCAGCTTTCCTTTAATAAACTTGGAAGTGAAAAATGTGCTATTTGGCCATTAGATCTCTTAATATAAAAAAGTTGCTTGTTCTCATTACACCAGCATGAAAATCCAGTGAGGATGACAGATGCAGGATCTCAGTGCTCTTACCAACTGCCTTGATTGCATGCCACAGGCACAGCATGTTCTCTCATATCCAAGAGCTGATCATCTCAAACAAGAGAATACTAGAAATAATCTAATGTGTATAACAGGGAATAAGAGTGAAGGATGCATTTTATGTAAGTTTAATCAGAAAGTCCTGAAGTGGTTTGGAAAGTTGGCTGAGTGTGATATACCTGAAGGCTCTTGCACTGCTTCTTAGCCGAGGTGTTGTTGATTGGTTGGGTTTCATGCAGCACGGGGCATGTTAATGGAGTAAAGAGCTCTTCTTAGAGCTCTAGAAAACCTGCAGTGAACTCATGGGTAGGTTAAGCTATATGGTGAAACTGGATACCACACTCAAGAGCTCCGCAGCCTATTTGTGTCCTGTAGCCCATCCTGGCACTGGTGTAGCAAGGTAGTTCTCCAAAAGCCTAAAATCCCTGTGTTGAAGGTACACATGAAGGATACTGAGCTGCACAACTCCCTCCAGCTTGGGCCATCAGTCCTCAATATTGCCATTTCCTTTCCTCATCCTGGATGTTTCAGCATGCACCTTTGCACTGTTTTAAATAGTTTTATTGTAGGAAATCCCTTATGCCTCCTCTATCAACCATGTTGCTTACTGCTGTGAAATTGACAGTTCAGAATCCATTAACTCCCAGCTGCAAGACAGATGGCATCTGTCTGTGGTGAGAGAAGGTTTGTTGAAAAAAAAGCCTTGCAAATGCTTCCCAAAGGACATCAGACCTTACTTTTCCTGAGAGAGATGTGGGCAGCCTCTATTATAAATAGGCCTAGGTCTTCCTTGTTCTTCAAGGGAACAGGTGTTTCTTTTGCCTTGCCAAGCACCAATGAAACCATTCTTAAGTCCTTCTTAATCTCCAGCACTTCACAGAAATAGTTGTAAATCCATGTTTCTGCCAAAGCTAGTGGGGCTACACCGGTACCATTTGGGAATCTAGGTCGAAGAAAGCAGAGGCCCAGTGCTTTATGGGCTTTACATGCACACACACAGC